TGAGTCTCTTTGTGTCCGTGAGTGGTTGTTTTGTGTCTCTTTGAAGTTGTTTTAAGTCTCTCTGTTGGTTGTTGTGCCTTTTTGTGGTTGTTTTGAGTTTCTTTGCATCTTTTTGTTGTTGTTTTGAGTCTCTTCCTACATGTTTTGACTCTCTTTGTAGTAGGTTTGAGTCTCTTCGTAGTCGTATGACATTTTTTGCTACTCTGAGCATCTTTGAAATAATAGTAATTTCTATTTCTAGGGTTGTTCCTCGCCTCTTCGTAGTCATTTAATGTCTCTTTGTAGTCATTTAATGCCTCTCTGTGGTTGTTTTGTGTGTCTGTGCTTGCTTCGGATCTATTTATAGTGGTTTTGTGTCCCTCTGTAGTCGTTCTGCGTCTTTCTGCGGTCGTTGTGAGCCTCTCCCTGGCTGGTTTGTGTTCCTTTGAAGACTTTACAACAACAAATCCTGACAGTCGTTTGCAAACAGCAGCGCTGGGGATCCTTTAAACAGTCTCCTCCACCAGCAGCGTGTCAGCTGGACGGACAGCAGCCGGTCCGGGCCCCAGAACCAGGCCTCGGTGCAGAACACCTGCTAGCAGCGGCGGTACCAGGTCCACAGCTGCAGTCCTGTAGTCATGCTGCTGCTGCTGCTGCTGCTGCTCGACACCTCCGAACACCTCCGAACACTTCCGAACAGAGCCGGAGCCGCAGAACACAGAAAACAGAGACTCACCATCACCCGGGCGGAGAACCGGAGCGGCTCCGGTGGCGGCGGCGGTCCTCCGGTCACTGCACGGCGGCGGCGTCACACGCAGGAAGCGGCTCCGGTCCGCTCCATGTCGCCGGAGTCTCGAGCTGCTCGGTGCTGTGTGTGTCCGCGCGCCCGCTGCCCTGCGCACTGACTGGGACGCGGCGGAACATTCTCGTGCACGTGCAACCGGCGCGTGCGTCCGGCCTCCCTCTGACGTCAATACATTCCGATTCGCTCCCGCGGCGCGTCATCGGCAGCCGGCGGCCGCGCGCAGCAGAGAGGAAAATAACTGAATGGAAGAAATTATATAAGAAGAAGAAGAAGAAGAGTTTGGTCCTGAGAACCACAGGGAGGAACGTAGAACACAGAACATGAATTATAGAACTAGGAATACAGAACATGAAACATGTAACATGACACATAGAACACAGAACATGTGACATGGCACATAGAACATATGACAAAGAATGTGGAACATGGAACAAGAAACATTAAAGACTGAATACAGAACATGGAACAAAGAACATGGAACATAGAACATGGAATACAGAACATGGATCATGAAACATACAACAAGGAACATAAAACATGTAACATGACACATAGAACACAGAACATGTGACATAGCACATGGAACATGTGACAAAGAAATTGGAACATGGAACAAGAAACATTAAAGGCTGAATACAAAACATGGAACATAGAACATGGAATACAGAACATGGATCATGAAATACATAACACAGAACATGTGACATAGCACATAGAACATGAAACACGTAACAAAGAAATTGAAACATAGAACAAGAAACGTGGAAGAGTGAATACAGAACATGGAACATGGAACATAGAACATGGAACATGACATGTAGCATAGGGCATAGAACACAAAACATGGAACATAGACATGGAACATGGAATATGAAACAAAAACATTTGAACACAGAGCATAGAACATGTAACATGTAATATGGAACATGGAATGTAGAATATATAACATAGAACAGAGAAAATGGAACATAGAACACTGAACACAGAACGTGGAACACGTAAAATAGAGCATACAACATAGAACACTGAACAGTGGATGTGGTACATAGAACATGTACCATGTAACATGATGACACTCACACACGTGACTAAGGACTCGTCACACAAACACAACACAGGTGAGTTTAGTAGTTTTTGTGTCTCTGGTCGTCTCTTGTAGCTTCTGTGTGTCTTTGTTGTAGTTTCAGGTTTGGTTTAGTTCATTGTTCATCCATGTTTGACGTGTTACATCCGTGTTCACTCACTTTGTGTCTCTTTTGGTTCGTTGTGTCTCTCTCTGCTTGTGTTGCGTCTCATTTTGCTGACTGTGTAGCTGCAGGTGTGATCTGTTGTTGCTCATTCTGCAGTTTGTTTTGTTTCTTTCTGCTCATTTTGTGTTTGGTTTTATTCATTTTACATCCATTTCTGCTCATTTTGTTTGTCTTTTTGTTAATTTCACAAATCTTCTTGCCAATTTTGCATCTCGTTTTGTTTATTTACATCTGTTTTTGTTGTTTTTGTGTCTGTTTTGCAAATGTTGTATCTCTTTTGTTCATTTTGCTAAACTTTTTGCTTATCATTCATGTCGTTTTGTTCATTGTGAGACTCTTTGCATTTTTGTTTTATTTTGTGTAGTTGTTTTGCATCTCTTTGTGGTCATTTTTTAAATCTTCTATTGGTTGTAGTTGTTTGCATCAGTTCATTTATAGACCTCTCAGCTGTTTGGTGCATCTTCAGGGCTGCCTTGTGGTTCCTTGTAGCTGCTTTGCTTCTCCTTGTGTCACTTTGTTGTTGTTTAGAACAACATTTTACAGTCATACCCTCGGTTTGACCCAGTTTGAGTGTTTTACAGTGTTTTACAGTACTCCTGCACTATTGATATAGGGATTCACAGTGTGTGAGGTGATGTTTTCTAACAGCGTCTCTGTGCACATGTGAGTGTTGTTGTGTGTGGATGCACTTCATCACGTGTGGCTGATGTTGTGTTCGTGGCTGCATCTGGTGTGTTTCTGTTATCATCTGCTGGTTTTACGTTTCAAGCTTTGTTACGCTGTGAAGCTGCATCAGTCTGCAAGATGAGCTCATCGCCGCTGCTCTTTGTTTCAGCCGAGCTGCAGAATAACGGGGCCATCTAGTGGATCCAGTTCAGCTTCTTTCTTTCTTTCTTGACATTCATCCCACCTGCTCCCTGCACACATCAACCCTTTTACCGACATGCAGTAAAGACAAAGGATGTAGTTTTGTGTTTCAATCTCTGTCACACACACACACACACACACACACACACACACACACACACACACACTGTCCAGACCCATGCATGACTCCATCACATGCTTTAATTTCATCATTCCCGCTCAGCGCCTGGTGCTGCAGAAGAATAAAACACAGATCACGTGACTCCAACCTGCTGTTTCTGACCTCAGGTTTCGTCTCCTGACACGTTGTTTTGCTTCACTTATCATCTGACGACACGATGAGCCTTTAATGAGCCTTTAATGAGCCGTTATTAACGCCACAGGGGGGGAACAGTTATGAAAAACCTGTATAATAACAAAAATAAACCAAAAAAGTTCAGATTGTGGTGGAAATAACAGTTGTGCACATATCAGTGGTTCTTTCATGAGCACAAATACTGATTAAGTAGAAAAAAAAATAACAATATCGCACAATATATGCAGGTCAGACGTGGATTCTAATTATTTCACCTTTCAGTTAAAGTTCCCAGATTGATTCTCTGCAGAAGAAATGTTTGTCATTGTTTTGTAACATTGAAGGAATTGAGTTTGACATCGTCGCCATCTGGTGGTCGGATCAGGAATCACATCGAGTGACTTTAATGTGTCTTTTCTTATTGTCATAGAAAATAAAACACAGAAATGCAGCGTCTGTAAATAATAGGTGTTAAATAATCAGCATCAAAAGGAAACTCTGTGTTTAACTTCACTCCAAATAGTGTTAAGAAAACCTCTGATTATTTTACAGTGTTTTGTCCTGATTTGGTAAATTACGGAAAATATGAAGTAAAACTACAGGAAAAATTATAACTGTTAAAATCATGTCCACATTAAAAAGAAAATAAATAAAATGTAATTTGTTCTTTTGCATTATGTGAAATTACCATAAACTGTATCGCTTTTACTGTATTTAAATCAGCTAAAACATCATTATTTCACAGAAACTTGCCTTCATGTGAAATAAAATGTATGTTTGTTAGAGACTGAAAAATGCTAATTCACTTTTAAACTTTAACTTTATTTACAGATTTTACCCATTTGTTAAATTAGAGCTGCTAACTTGTAATATCCCAGAAAAATATACTAATTTACATGCTGACTGTAAAAACTAAACTGGAAATAATGTCCACATCAAAAACTGGTATTTTTTTGTTCTTTCGCAATTTGTAAAATTACCATAAAATACATCGTTTTTACTGTAGATCAGCTAAAATATCATTATGTTATTGAAATTTGCCTTTATGTGAAATAAATGCCTGCACATGATGGACTGAAAAATATTTAATCATTTTTTAACAGTTATTTTACAGATTTTTACCATTTTTAAATATATATAAAATAACTTGTAAAATTCCAAAATATATATAGTAATTTCTGTGTTGACTGTACATTTTTTTAAAGAGGCCAAAATTATAAACAATGTCCACATCAAAAATCTGTAACTGCAAAATTACCACAAAATGCAGGTAAAGAAAGTTTGACAAATATAAACTATGATGTATTTTTTAGAGTTTCACGCGTTTCAAATGTAAGTTTTTACCTCAAGCAGTAAAAATAACTGAAATTCGAGTAAAAGATAAGACAAGATAGAACTTTATTGATCCAGAAAGTACCTTTTGTGCCAGACATCGATTAGACAAAAATGTCATCACATGAGAATAAATGCAGTGTTGAACAGAAAAGCCGATACGTTACTAAAAATAAAAATAAGTCAGTTTAAATATAACTGGAAAAGTCAGAGGTAATGCTGCAATAAGTTATGTAAACAAAGGTTCATTATTCTTTAAGAAGAATCCCGTCTAGTAATAAGTTAATACAGAAACACAAACTGGAAACTCAACAGTTATCACACAGTTCATACAGAATAAAACACACCTTCATGTCACCACAGAGGCTGCATTAATACACAAGTGTTGCATTCATTAGCTGCAGTAAAGTGCTGATCATAAATACATAAATCCTGATCTGAACATTGTTTATGACATAAAAAAATAAACAGTGTTCCTGAGAAAAGTCATGAAACACAAATAAATTAAATGATTATCTACCTTAAGGTATATTATATTTTAAAATCAAAACAAGTCTCTTAGAATAAAGTTTGAAGCCCTGCGTTACACTGTTAGACAGTTTAAGGTTTTCTGAAGATGCAGCTCTTTATTGTCCTGTACATCCAGAGCAGTGAGGCTGCTTTAAATTCTCTGTTATTTTACACATTCTACCTGCTTTGTTAAGAAACTACAGATAATATCTGATCAAATTACAGAAAAAATAAAATATTTAAGATGTTGACTGAAAAAAAAAATGTACATAAAGTCCACAACAAAAATCTGTATTTTTACAAATGTGTAAAACTACTGTGAAATCACAAAAATTTATTATATTTAAATCAGCTAAAAACCTGTTTTAGTATTATTTCAGAGATAATTGCCAATATGTGAAAGAAAAGAAAACTATATTCAAGACTAAAAATGCCACATATATTTTGTGTTATTTTACTGATTTTTTCTCCTTTGTTTTGTTAAATTACAGAAAATAAATTCAAATTATATAAAAATGTATTATTTTACATGTTGACCAAAACTGCTCCATCAAAAATCTGTGTTTTTACAAATTGTAATTTGCTCTTTTGCGATATGTAAAATTACCGCACAATTACACTAATTACTGGGTTTAAATCTGCTAAAATTATGATTATGTTACAGATATTTGTCCTAATCTTGAAATTCTTGGTATTTTACAGATTTTATTGATTAAAAAAATAATATCTTGCATAATTAGAAAAATAGCCCAAAACTTAATTTACATGTTGACTGTTTAAAAAAAGACACAAAAACAAAACAAACAAACAAACAAACAAAACCTGAGCAAAACTGTCCATAATGTCCACATTAAAAATCTGTATTTTTACAAATTAGAATTTGTTCTTCTGAAATATGTGAAATTGAAATTAAAAGACTGAGAACGGTAAAATATGTTTGTCCTTTTTTGCTAAATTACAGATTATATCAAGTAAAACAAAAAAAAAAGCCAAAATTGTCCATAATGTTTACATCAAAAATCTGTATTTTTAACAAATTGTAATTTGTTCTTTTGGTGTAAAATTACCATAAAATTACTTTATTTTACTTCAACCAGATTTTTGCTGTTATTTTCACTGTTTTTGAGTTTTACCGTATTCCACGGGTTTTTAAACACATCATTTCTACTCTCGATGATATTCTCAGTGTTGTTTTGAACATTTTTTTCCTACAGCTTTCACAGGAAGTGCAGCAGCACAGTCCAGACTCATGCTGAGAATCCTCTTTCTGGCCGCAGAGCCTCGGTCAGCCGGACTCTCATCACCTCTTTGGTTGAATATAAGGGCAGATACAGAATAGAGTGACACGTCAGCGACTCGGGGAAGTACTGATCGTGGGAGGCGCTCTGGATTTGTTTAAGTTCGACCGACATCTGTATCTGGTCCATGCCGAGAATGGGAACCTTCCTAAACCCAGTCAGGAACCCTGAAGAGGAGGGAAAAGTAGGAACGTTGAAGTTACTGCTCGTCTGTTGGCACGATTTAGTGCTTCAGCTTCACCTGGTTT